CAGCATCTAGTCATTGATCTAAAGGATACTTTAGGACACATCACTTATCCTATTTAGCCTATTAACTTTACAACACAGCTGAATCTATAATGCTGACAGAAAGAGGGGATAATTGTAAAATGCCAACATGTTCAGTTGTTACATGTTACCAAGCCAAGAAGAAGGAGACAAAGGAGACACTGATACTTGATACAGACACATAGTATAATATAGTAAACACCAGTATGAAATGTAAAATTTGGTTCTAAATTTCTTTGTCTAATGTGTATAATGACACAAAATCACCAGGCAAAATAGGTACACTCGAATAAGAGGATAACTCTTATTTAACTACATTCAAGTACTGCATAAATAATTTTAAATAGAGCCTAAATTGTAGGTATTTTACAGGAAAGGAGAAACAAATTATACTGTAATTAATTTTTCAATACAGTGGTCCCTCACTATAGCACGTTTCACCTTTCGCTGCCTTGCTGTTTCGCATGAAATTTTGCATGCTTTGTTTTTTACTGAGCCCCGCAGGGGACATGGGAGAAAAAAAATGAAGATGAACTTTTGCGAGATCTCGCAAAACTTCAAACTGGTGGGTAACAGACATCTCCAAAAACGTTGGAGCACCTTTGCAAATATGTGATGTCTTGATAAACCAAGCAGATATTTGAAGTGTACACAGCTACATTCTCGCCTGAAAAGGACACATTTGGAGCAGCCTTTGAATTGGGCCAGCCTTCGTCACCTGGGTCGTCAGCTTCAAGCTGGCAGCCTCTGAAGGATGCAGCCTATTTTGCGAGATCTCGCAAAACATTTGCGAGATCCCGAGTTACTTTTGCGAAATCTCGCAAAAGTTCATCTTCATTTTTGTTCTCCCATGTCCCTTGCAGGGCTCCGTAAGTTTTTCTTTTTCTTCTTTTTTTTTTTTTTACAGCACATTGTGTTCTGCATCCTGATTGGCTGTAGACCAGATAAGAGAGAGATAAGATAAGACTTTATTAATCACTCGGGTGGGTTCCTCTGGGACATTCGGTTTCCAAAAGCACAG